AAAAAGGTAGGAAAATCCCTCTGTTAGTTTTCAAGGTCAATACACTTTCAAAGAAACCATTAGAAAAGATTTATGATCATTATTTACAAAAATTACAACATCAATATGTGCACTAGGTAAGAACTGTGGAGCAAACAGTAAGGCAAATACAAAAGGAAGACATCCATTAGGAAACTTAAGATGCATAAACTACATGATACAATGTATAGATGTTCCTGAGGTAACCAAGAAAAGCTAATACTTAGTGAACTTGATATTTAGTTTTAAAAGTTTAACAATATCTTAATATGGGTGTGATAACATTATATTAATCTTTTTGAAAAGATACATTATCTTTCAGAGAGACCTACTAAAACCAAGTATCTGGGATTTGCTTCAAAATGATTCAGTGATTCAGGCCAGGGCTGGAGAGATAGCACAATGGCATAAACTCCTGCTTGGCAAGCACAAGGACCCAAATTTGATCCCCAGTACTGCATGCCCTGCAGGACCCATGCGGTGCTAGTCACCGAAACCAGGCATGGTGGCACACACCTGTAATCCTAGAAATGGGGAAGTTGAGATGGGAAGATCACTACAAGTCTGAAGTGCATAGCAAGACCCTATATCAAAAATAATAATAATAATAATAATAATAATAATAATAATCAAAAACAAAAAAGATCTAGGCAGAATCTAGACATAGTGGCACATGCCTGCAATTCCGTAACTACATAGCAAGACCCTGTCTCAAAAAAAAAAAAAAAAAAAAAAAAGAGGTAATATTATCCTTCAGTTGATGATGAATCTGAATGAGGTTCATTTTTTACTAACCCCTCTAAGTAACAACTTTATGATAATAATTTGAGCATGTTATGGTTTGTGTCTAGTTGTGCCCCACCAACACCTCATGTAGTCATGGGGTAGGGACTTCCAGAGTTTGAGACTAATGCATGATCCACTGGGATTATGGGTCTTAGTACCACTGGGATTATGGGTGTGAGTGCTTCACCCAGCCTTGGGGCAGACAGCCT